TATATATATATATATATATATATATATATATATATAGTATGCATACGGCCAGCTGGGCGCGTGTTAATGTAGGATTCGGCGAGTTTTGATGAAAAATAAACTGTTGAACAGCAATGAAATGGGAATGCATTACTACAAACGAAGAGAACAAACAGCCACCGTACCAAAATCGATCGAATGCATCAAAACAAGCGCACATGGCGCACCGAAACCAGGGCAACGTGGTCTATGCAATTTATCATATGAATCGCGTGTTTTAACCCTGCAATGCACTTCCCCCTTCAGCTGTTTTGGACATTCCTGACAAACAATGGAGTCCGGCGCCTGTAAAAATGACCTTTTTATAAAAGGAAGTCACCCAACTACCGTGGCTGACGTGCCTCTGGTTACCCATGAATGCCACTATCATTAACCTTGCAATACCCCTACCTTTATCGCTAAAATGTTTTTGAATGCCTATAACCGTGACTGAGAATTCACCGTTTTGCATAGCGCGGCCTGATACGGGGTCGATGCGACCCCAGCCGATTTCAAAAGAATGAACATAGAGCTTAACGAAAAGCACCAATGCATGGTTCTTAACGAGATCCCGTGATTTGTAACAAGTTGTATATTTTTAGGTCAATAGTTGGGGTTAAGAGGCCAGGTTGAAGGTCAATTTTCCCAGAAAATTGTCTATCAGCTTTACATGTGTCTATGTCAGAAACCAGACTTTGCAGCAACACATAATCCATACATGCGTTTTTTCCCCTTTCGATCATTATGGCACATCGTTTCAAGGGTTGTGAGCATTTATTTACAACATATTGTTCGGTTAACGTCACAATGTTGGGCCACCGCACGCGTTCTGCGGCGCCGTTGTCTGCCGCTCGCCGACCGCGAAGGCCGTTCTTAAAAAACCCCCGCTGCTCCGAAACCAGAAAACCTGGCTATAAAGCTATACGTAAGCGTTTTGTTGCGCAAAACACTTGGAATGGACGCCCCATAGGCCACTGAAAATCCGGGCGCGATTGCACATGTCGAGGTATCCTCAAAAACCTTGAGGGGACGCCCCCCCCCCCCCCACACACACACCTATCAAGCCGGGACCCAACAGTCACCAAAACGTATGGGCGCACCGCGCCGGCTCGTCAACACAAGTCGATGTGCCCAAGTGTTAAAACCATTCCCGAAATGAATGTCATCTCCCGCAAATCGTATTAGATGCTTCGCCGAAGATGCATTGTCAAAAACCTCATAGGCAGCATCGGCCCTCCACCCCTCCCCCCCCCCCACCCCCCCAGCCACCGGGGGTAGGTGGGGGGGGGGGGGAGGGCCCGGCATCCGTGGCCGTGGCCGGTACCGTGGCTGTGACCATATCCATGGTTCACCGCCGGTATCAAAACGTACCGACATTGGGGCAGTGTTGTTACCTGTGTCCACCATTGGCCGACGCCGTCAGCGCCACCAGTGCCATTACAAAAGCGAGGGGCCCTGTAACCTCACATACGCATACTGCAGGCATGTAGCGTCCTCACTGCGGGTGCGCCTTACCCACGGCAAAGCCGTCACGGCCCTGGTGAGCGCGCACGGCCAGCAGATGTTCGGCGGTGGGTCCCGTAAGAATGTCCTGTGGTCGGGCTCACACAGACTGCCTGGGCAGCCGGACGGCACAGCCGTACCTGCCGGCCAAGCAAACTCGCCATGTCTCCCAAGGAACCGGTCAGTGCGCCAGCGACACATACTCCAAGCGCCTACGTGGCTGCAGTGAGCCTTCCACCCAGCCCTGCGCCTCGCCATGGGTACGGCTCCGCTGCGTATATTGTAGAGTATATTGCAGAGTGATCCAGACACGTCACCCAAGTCGGTATATTCATCGACAGCAGTTACACAAATCAGGAAGCGATCAACGCGAATGCTGGTAAACACAGCACTGATCATCGCTAGGTCACGACGCGATCGTAGGCTCGATATCAAGTAGCGAGTGACACAGCCGTGGACTGATTGTCCCACATTACGACATCGTTTAACAGGCGCGATGCGGCGTGGCAGATAAGGACAATCCGACACATGAGCTAGCGGCAAAATCACAGATATGTACCGGTCGGCTGGATGCCTAGACATGACTACATTGACCTGACGTTACAACAGAATTGGCGGTTAAATTCATTCAGCACAAAAACCGCACAAGAATCACAGCATTAAAAGGTAGCAATGGGTCACAATTCATTGGTCCATAGCGCGCAACAACCCGCCAAAGCGGATTTGATCACTGAATCAGGAAGACACGACAAAACACCCAAATTGATGATCAAGCGGCTCATAAAAGCGGACATGTTGGTAGCGCTGTCCGTGGAAAACAGACCCACACGCCACGGCCGCGTGCCACCGCGGGCGGTCCGGCCGGCTGGGTCAGGGCCGGTGAGTTCCGCGGCCCCGGGGGCCGGCGCTGCCACCGGCCCTGACCGCGAGCGCGGCGCCGGGCCCGGGGCGGCGGCGCTGTCTCAGCTCTCGCTCCGTGCCGCGACTCACCCCCCCCCCCCCCCCCCACCTCCCCTTCAGCTGTCCAGCGGGCGTGCTGGGTCGTGGGACGGGCGACGCCCGCCGCAGCTCGGCGTCATCTTCTGCCAGCGCCGGAACACTCGCTGACCGGCGCCCCGCGGCGCCCGCGGTGGACCGCGGCGCGGCGCCCGTCACGGTCGCCGCGCCGCACCGCTCGGCCGCGTCAGAACTGGAACGACATCGGGTCGGTGGCGACGGCGTGCTCGAGCGCCAGGGCGGCCAGCTCCGCCAGCCAGTGCTGCAGCAGGACGGCGGTGACGCCCACCCGCCGCTCGGCCGCGTCCCACGGCTGCAGCGCCGACGCCGCGTCCTCCTCCGGCTGCGGCCGCCTGCGGGCAGGCAGCTCACGTCAGGCACCGGCCAGTGTCCAGCCCGGCCGCGGCTGCCGCAGCCAGGCCCGATCGCCTCAGGCACCGGCCGTCGGCCCGCGCCCAGCCCAGCTCCGGCTGCTGCAGGCCCTCCACACACCACACGGGCGGCGAGGATGCCCCGGTTCGTGCACACTGGGGCGCTATTGGGGCGTCCCCACAGCGTCCTGCACAATGCATACAAGATGTGTTGGTTCTTCCAATTTCTATCCGCACTGTGATTATGCCATCGACTGTTATCGGTCATGACGTAGAAACAGTACACTGCGTTAGTGCTACCAAACGCATTGTGTGATTTTGAAGATGCCTGTCCAATTATACATCCAGCGAATAGTCCCATGGCTGCTGTAGCCATCGCCGCGCTGCCGTGGCTTTGCTCTGACGGGCAGGCCGGCCGGTGGCGGAGGGTGAGGTGGTTTACCTGGCCCTGCCGCTCCCCTGGCGGCCGCCGGCGGGGGTCGGCTGACCAGAGTCGTCGACACTAGCGCCGCCTAGTGAGCGGCGCACCATCCGAGTCACAGCGTCCAGATTGAAGCGGCTGCGTTCGGCTGCAACATCGAGACGTCAATGGCTGCTACAGAGCGCTCATGTCGACACGCCCCCCCCCCCCCCCCCCCGTGTGAAACAGCACCCGGGCGAGGGCACGTTTTCCTATCCAGCTTGCACGTGACGCTGGCTTCCACAAATTATGCTGTCCCAAGCGCTGTTAAAAAACGGTATCGACAAAACTGCTACAGCTGCCCTGAGCGACGTGAATTCGATAGGGCCATTGATTAACTGCCAGTGGATAAACGTTCCACAAAATAAAACACTGGGAGACAAACCGCATGTTGAACATTAGTTCTCTGCCATGCAACTGCTATGGAGTGCTAGGGAGAAGACTTCGCCTTCAAATTACGTCGAATGACACAACATATACAAGGAAAATACAAAAGCGCGCCATAGGGCTTTTACGCGACGGAACTTCCAGGAACAGCGGTGTCTCATATCACAGCCATCACAAAATTGTAATGGCAGAACATGGCTAATGACAAAACTGTCCCGCACACAACTTTCAACTGATATTACTTCAATTACAACTACACGGTCAGAGCTTCAACACGACAGAACCTCCAGACGTAATTTCTGCAGGACTCGATTGTCCCACACGCGGCAATTTCGCGAAGCCCCGGCTGCGCACCAAAATAACCACGGTCCAAATATCCGCACGCGTTGACCCAATGGGACAGCGATACGAACAACTTGCCTGACAAGGGTAGTTTGGGCTAGAGACTGCTCGCAGCGGCCCCCTGTGGCTTTCGGTGTCATGATTGAGTTATGTCGCGCACCAACTGCGACCGTACACATCTTTAGAATAGAATAAAGGCCCAGTGAAAGGCTTGTCCGCCGCACATTTCAGGTGCAGTAGTAATGTCGTGCAGAAGTGTTCTCTGTAGCACGGTGTAGAACAGAGTAGAAATGCATGGCGAACTGCAAATTGCAAATTTCAAAAAATGCAAATTGTATGTTTTTGTCAACTAGAGGTATTGCGGCAATCTTGTCAGGAAACGTAGAACAGTGTAGACCGAATTTTGACACTGAGCAATCATCGCGGATCTATGTTGTCCATGAAGGTCCCGTTGTGAGGGTGCTGTGCGACGCCGCTTCACCCGCGGCAGCCTTGATGTGGCCGGGATTGCTCTCTACCCTCAAATGCTTTGACCAGGAGCATATGGCCGAGAAGCGAAAGTACTCGACACTTCCTATATGCTAGCAGTGCACGAGAGCGCGGCCCGACAATGACAAAGGCAGCTCCAGGAGCTGGCTATTAAGCAACTGAGCGAGTGGAATGGCTCACCTCTGCCGGACGAAGAGCGACTCAACAGCATAACGTCGCTTCAAGAGTAAAACCGAGTGTTTTTATTGACTGATGGTAAGAGATACTGGGACAAACATGTTGCGAAAGAAACGACAACAGACATGGATGGGAGCCCATAACGCAGGAACAACATAGAAGGTTCATCAGCGGTGAAAGCGCCCCCAGCTGGGCCTGGCAGTGACGTCACACGAGAGGGTCCGGCGCGCGGCGCGCCCACGTCACCAGCCTGTCACCTTGTGCCGGCGAGGCGGGCCGGGCGGCGGCCGAGGCGTGGTCGGGGGGTGCAGGCCGGCGGCTGGCGGGCCTCCAGCCGCCGCCGGGCCCAGTCCAGCAGCGCCGGCCCCTCCTGCACAGAGCGCATGGCCAGGTCGATCCGGTGCTTCAAGCCGCCCAGCGTCTGGCGGAGGCGGGCTGCGCGGTCAGACATCCGACGGGTCGGACGGACAGCCCACTCCCCCAGCCTTCAGCGCGGCGACCACGCGCCCTGTGGCCGGGGGGCGGGGGCGCAATGTGGACCACTTGCCTTTGTGTGTGAACGCGTCAATGACAAAGATACTGGCACACATCCTTTTTCTCCTGCTGAAAAGGGGATCTTTCGCGCCGTTTAAAGGGCAACGGACCAAAAAGCGCGTACCATGGAGGTGAATGGTGCATAAAATTACAGGTACACAAGGAGGCAGGGCGTGGAGGCCACCTGCCACTCGCGTTAAATTGATAGTACTCATGCCTGCGGTCCGATACACACGTCTTCTAGATTCTTTCATTGTAAGTGTTATTAAATGAGTTCGTTATGTTCGAACGTGTCGTATTTGGCACACAAGTCCTAGCACGTCTGACCTGGACTTGACCCACAAAGCCCGGGCCTACGATAAGGACATTTGCACACAAGCGCTTCTTTTAACATCCACCCATCCTGAAAAATTTGGGAATTGTCTGTGTCTGGCGTTCATGGTTTGAGGACCAAACGAATATTTGCGATGTTGTCCCCCGTCCCCCTTCCTGGATGAAGGATTTTCAGAACGCGCTACGGTATGTACGTGAACAGGTTAACAAATCCATATAGCACGGCCATGTCCAGTGTACAACATTCAGAGTACAACGGAGCACCCAACATTTCGTTGAGTCAAGCCTACTTTGATTCGTGAATTCGTACGCAATTGTGTCAGGGTCGGATCGACTGTCGTTAGCTTCGTCAGTGGAATCAGCAGTTGGCAAAGACCAGGCTTTAATCTATACGCAGTCATAGATGCCAGCTGAGATGCAAAGAATGACAAAGTTTACACTTCCCATGAACATTAGAGATTGCATTGCAATACTGTCCCCAATTAGCGTAACGGACCATTCACATCAGCACATGAAAATAAGTCGCGTTTGAACACTTCCACTGAGCCGCAATTTGCATAGTATTTCAGATAGCTTTGGAGCCCAATGTTTGTACTGTCATTTGTTGCATGGCACTGCAATCAACTCTGGGCCCTCCAGATCTTCAGCAACCACATTGTTTATGAGTGCACGGATGTTACTGGGATTATGACAGCCATTAATGCTTTACGTATCCATGCTACGCATTTTACTGCATCGTTTACATCTACCCCAGAACGCATTGACATACGCATTGACATTGAATGATATAGATCACGGCCTATGCTGTAAATCAACCACTCCCCGACGCCTCCTGCAACCAATCGGACACAGGGCCACGGCAATCACAGGCTAGCGACGTTGGAAGACATCATCTGAAAGGTGAAGAGCAGCGGCGTTTCCCAGTGAGTGTCAGTTATATTCGGCAGCGAGTGCCTCCCCGGCACCCGCCCAGAGCGTGCAGCGACGTGACATGCCGTGTCCCGCGTACTTCAGCAGGAACTAAATAGGCTAAAAGAGCAGCTGGACGGCCAGCTAGAGCAGGGAGGCAGACTGCTGTTCTCCACTCACCTGGACCAGGGAGGACACGCTGGTGTTCCCCAACGACCTGGACCAGGGAGGGCAAACTGGTGTTCTCTTCCACTGACCCGGACCAGGGAGGGCACACTGGTGTTCTCCTACGATGACCTGGACCAGGAAGGACACGCTGGTGTTCCCCAACGACCCGGACCAGGGAGGGCACACTGGTGTTCTCCTACGATGACCTGGACCAGGGAGGGCAAACTGGTGTTCTCCTACGATGACCTGGGCCAAGAAGGGCAAACTGGTGTTCTCCCCCACTGACCTGGGCCAAGGAGGGCACGCTGGGCTGCAGCACGATGGTCGGGTTGAACAGCAGAGAGCGCAGCAGCGGCTGCGGGTACTGGCCGAGCCGCGTGATCACCGACATGAGCAGCAGGTTCAGCTGCAGACCGTTCGTGGTGGCCAGCTCCAGACGCTCCAGCAGCGCCCAGAGGAACGGCCCTGCCGGCAGCGGCGGCGGCGGGTTAGCGCTGCTCGGCAGACGCTCACCCGCGGCGGCCCGTGCACAGTCGGCACGCCATCACGCAGTCGGCACGTCATCACAGGCGGCACGTCATCACACGGTCGGTACGTCATCACAGGCGGCTTGCCATCACACAGTCGGTACGTCATCACACAGTCGGTACGTCATCACACAGTCGGCGCGTCACCACAGTCGGTACGCCATCACACGGTAGGCACGTCATCACACAGTCGGCACGCCATCCCACAGTCGGCACGTCAACATACAGTCGGGACATCATCGCACAGTCGGCACGTCATCACACAGTCGGCACGCTATCACACCGTAGGCACGTCATCACAGGCGGCATGTCATCACACAGTCGGCACGTCATCACACAGCCGGCACGTCATCACACGGTAGGCACGTCATCACACAGTCGGCACGTCATCACAGTCGGTACGCCATCACGCGGCAGGCACGTCATCACACAGTCGGCACGCCATCACACAGTCGGCACGTCAACATACAGTCGGGACATCATCGCACAGTCGGCACGTCATCACACAGTCGGCACGCTATCACACGGTAGGCACGTCATCACAGGCGACATGTCATCACACAGCCGGCACGTCATCACACGGTAGGCACGTCATCACACAGTCGGCACGTCATCACAGTCGGCACGCTATCACACGGTAGGCACGTCATCGCACAGTCGGTACGTCATCACACAGTCGGTACGTTATCACAGGCGGCATGTCATCACACAGTCGGCACGTCATCACACAGCCGGCACGTCATCACACGGTAGGCACGTCATCACACAGTCGGTACGTCATCACACAGTCGGTACGCCATCACACAGTCGGCACGTTATCATACAGTCGGGATATCATCGCACAGTCGGCACGTCATCACAGTCGGTACGCCATCACACGGTAGGCACGTCATCACACAGTCGGCACGCCATCACACAGTCGGCACGTCAACATACAGTCGGGACATCATCGCACAGTCGGCACGTCATCACACAGTCGGCACGCCATCACACGGTAGGCACGTCATCGCACAGTCGGTACGTCATCACAGGCGGCATGTCATCACACAGTCGGTACGTCATCACAGGCGGCATGTCATAACACAGTCGGTACGTCATCACAGGCGGCATGTCATCACACAGTCGGTACGTCATCACAGGTGGCATGTCAGCACACAGTCGGTACGTCATCACAGGCGGCATGTCATCACACAGTCGGTACGTCATCACACAGTCGGCACGTCATCACACGGTAGGCACGCCATCACGCAGTCGACACGTTATCACACAGTTGGTACGCCATCACACAGTCGGCACGTTATCATGCAGTCGGGACATCATCACACAGTCGGCACGTCGTCACACAGTCGGGCCATCCTCACACAGCCGGCACGTCATCACACAGTCGGGACGTCATCACAGTGCGGCCAAACAGTCGGAGTCAGAGCGTCAACAGGGCGCGACACGAAAGAGTCTGGCAACATATTGCAGGTAAAACAGCGCCATTTCGTGTTCCGAGACGTTGTATGTATCCCAGACCCATGACCAGCGGCACCACACGTCTCTCGGGCGCCAGCCCATGGCGGCGGCCGGCAGGCTCACCTATCGTGGGCGCCGCGCTGAGCGCACCGTGCGACGGCCGCTGCCAGGCCAGTGCCGGTCGAGGCGCTGGCAAGCGAACGGAAGCCGGTCGCCACTGTGTCGGAACCAGCGGCTTGGACGGGAGCGGGTCCGCTGTGTCGATGACTGAAGACGGCTCGTCAGTATCTGTGGCTGGCTCGTCAGCGGCGGCGGCCAGCTTGCTGGCGTCGGGACCCGTCTCGGTCAGCGGTCTGGAACCGGAGCGGCAGCTGCTGGGGCCGCCTCGCAGCACGCCGGTGGACGATCAAACGCCACCATGCCCTCCAGAGTAGGTGGTGATCCCGTATGATCGCTTGATCGTAGTCCCCCAGAAGGAGGCGATGACTCGTCATTGGCAGATGGCTCATTCTCGCTGCGCGAGCCGTCACTTGCGGCGACTGGCGGCTCAGAGGTACGGCGAGGACGGCCGTCGTCACCAGACGGCGGCTCGTCCACCAGGCCCGGCTCAGCAGCTGGCTCTGCCGGGCGGTTGGCTGAGGAACGGCGGCTCGTCCGGTAGCAGCGAGAGGATGCCCAGACCGAGCTCCGCCACGCTGTCGCTGGGACTGACCGTGACCGGCGACGTGGCCCAGTCCGCGGCCGTCGAGGTGGTCCACGCCTCGACACGGTCCGACGCGGACCAGGGCTGGGCCGCGTCCGTATCGAGCGGCCGAGGCCCTCCGTCGAAGACGTCCAGCCGCGGCTCGGGCTCGGCTGTCGGCGGCGGCGCCCGCTCGGCTGCAGAGGGCTGGACCGCCGCAGAGGCGGAGCGCGTCCCACCGCTTTTTACAGACTCCTCCGAAAGAGGTCGACAGTCCACTGAAGCTGTCTTCTCAGCAGCCCCGGGGATGTGTTCAGAGACCACTTCTGATTGCATGTCTTTGTTTTCCGTCTCCTTAAACTTCCTGTGACGAGCACCTTCCCGCCAGCGCCGTCTCCAACAACCAGAGCGCATCTTCGCCCACCTCCATCTCCTCCGGACCGTTCCTCGTCACGGCCGTCCTCTCTCCTCCGCCATCGTCACGTGTCCCCTCATCCTGTCCGAACGCTCCGTCTCCTGCTACCGACTCTTCTCGCTCCAGCCCGTTCGCTCCTGACGCCGTCTCTTCTGTACCGTGCGGGTCTCTATCGACGACCGCTCCCTCCAACATCGGTGTGTCGGCAGCGGCGTCCTGCGGCCCGTCGGTAGCGACGCTCTGCGGCCCGTCGGCAGCGGCGCCCTGCGGCCCGCCAGCAGCGGCGCCCTGCGGCCCGTCGGCAGCGGCGCCCTGCGGCCCGTCGGTAGCGGCGCCCTGCGGCCCGTCGGCAGCGGCGCCCTGCGGCCCGTCGGCAGCGGCGCCCTGCGGCCCGTCGGTAGCGGCGCCTTGCGGCCCGTCGGCAGCGACGCCCTGCGGCCCGCCAGCAGCGGCGCCCAGCGGCCCGTCGGTAGCGGCGCCCTTGCGGCCCGTCGGCAGCGGACGCCCTGCGGCCCGCCAGCAGCGGCGCCCTGCGGCCCGTCAGCAGCGGCGCCCTGCGGCCCGCCGGCAGCAGCTGCTGACACTGCCCTCCGCTCCTGTGCGCGGCCGTCTCCGGCCGACCAGTCTCGAGATCGCAGCACCGCCGCGCCGCGCCGCGCCATCCTCTCAGTCTCGGCCGGGGACGGACTCGTGCCGTCGTAAGCGTACAGCCAGGAGGCGGCGGCGCGCCGGCGGTCGGCGACGACAACGCGCGCCTCGCGCACGCTCTGCAGCCAGGCGGCGGCGTCGAGCGGCGCCGACTGGCAGCAGGCGGGTACCAGCGCGAGCAGGCGCCGGGCGCCGTCGCCGTACGGGTCGAGCTCGCCGATCCGGGTCCGCTGCGACGCCATGATGTGTGTGCAGGGCAGCAGGTGGCGAAACACCAGCTCCAGCATGACGTCCTCGCAGTTCAGGTCCAGCAGCGCGTGCAGCAGGGAGAGGGTCACCACAGACAGCTGGGGAGGACCGGTGTACGTTACCACAGACACGAGGGGAGGACGGGCCTAATTCACCACAGACAGCTGAGGAGGACGGGCGTACGTCGCCACAGACAGCTGGGGAGGACCGGTGTACGTTACCACAGACACGAAGAGAGGACGGGCATAATTCGCCACACACGGCTGAGGAGGACGGGCGTACGTCGCCACAGACAGTTGGAGAGGACGGGCATAATCCCCCACCAGGATGAACTGTGCCCAGGAGATCAGGAGCTGAGGCGCATTTCCGAAGTGAGCCGTGGCACTTTTTCCAACCCAGACGGTTCACGGATGTCAGCATTTCTACGACAACCCGATTGCTACGTAAGTGAGACGCTAAATTTAAGAGTAAATCACACGTTAGACACGCTGGGGTCGGTGGTGCAGAACCATTTCATCACCACCCACCATATTGTACCTTGATCCGCCTCGATTCATGCATTTCAGACTGCAAGCATGACAGAACATCTTCGGCATACGTTTTTCCACAGTTGCGTTACCTGGGACAGTATGGTACACATTTGTACCATCACACCTATCTTGCTCTAGACTGGCAACTAGGAGCGACATCTCGGGTTCCACACTCCCATTCCTCTCACACGTACGACGCATGAATGCACATGCATGCATGCGTTAGCGTAGGTTCCTTGGCAAAAGCACACGATGATCCTACGTCACAGCCAACCCGCGTGTCAGCAGCCCCCTCTCTGCTCGCCTGGCCGGTACCTTGGGCGTGGCGGCGATGCGCTGGACCAGCGTGTCCAGCAGACGGACGCCGTCGTGCCGGTGGCGCAGCAGCAGCCACAGGAATGAGCGCACCATGCGCGGATGCCTCACGCTGCGCATGGACAGCTCCAGGTACGTGGTGGCTGTCACCACCGCCCCGACTGAGGTCTGCCGGCGGACGGACAGCATGCCGGTCAGGGGCCGGTCAGGGGCCGGTCAGAGGCCGGTCAGAGACCCGACAGAGGCTGGTCAGAGGCCGGTCAGGGCCGGTCAGGGCCGGTCAGGGCCGGTCAGGGCCGGTCAGGGGCTGGTCAGGGGCTGGTCAGAGGCTGGTCAGAGGCCGGACAGGGGCCGGTCAGGGGCTGGTCAGAGTCCGGTCAGGGCCGGTCAGAGGCCGGCCAGGAGCCCGTCAGGGACCGGTCAGGGACCGGTCGGAGGGCCGGTCAGGGGCCGGTCAGGGGCCGGTCAGGGGTCGGTCAGGAGCCGGTCAGAGGCTGGTTAGGGGCCGGTCAGGGGCCGGTCAGGGGCCGGTCTGGGGCCGGTCGGAGGGCGGCCAGAGGCCGCTCAGGGACTGCCCACGACTGAAGATGGGACTAGGTGTCAAAATGCTGCTTGGCTTGGCTAGATGCTTGGCTGCCAGCACCGACGTCTGGACAGAGGAAATTAAATATTCATCTTAAAACACGGTCAGCGTGTCTTCCATCAGGCCGGACTGGACCACGCCGTGCAGAGCGGTCGGCAGCAAGGTCCAGAGGGACAAGCACACTCGAGGCGCCCTTTCCAAAGCCATGAGGGAGAGCTTGGAGGGCGTTGGCTGCGGGCACGATGACGGTGCCCATATCGCTTATGTCGCCGCCTGAAACGCCTGAAACAACTGCTCGGCCCTCGCCACCCCGGGCCGTGGCTAGCAGTATATCACGGATTCTTCTGATTCGAAGAGGCCGCCTGGCGTGACCGGCAGGGGAAGGGTGAGAGCTGGTAGCCAGGATCCCTAGGAGAGAGCTTGAGGCTGTGGTTAACGTGCTGGCATTCTTCGACAGCACCAGCCAGCAGCCGTCAGCATCGAAGGGGCCATCGGCTTTCTGGTGCCTCTGGTGTTGGAGTAGGCTAGGCGATATCTGAAGGCGGCCCCTGCAGACCTGCTCGCCATGCAAGAGCTGAAGAGATCGCTCTTGGCCGGTATGGAGGGTGACAAGTACGCCGGCAAAATCAACAGCCTCCTGTATCTGGCGATCCCCTTCATCCCTGCCACAGGCAGCTGAGGCAGCTGAAGATAACGGACGAGAAGCGCAGGGAAGTAGAAAAAGGCTGTCGCAGCCTTCTTTCGACAGGAGAGAGGAACAGGAGACGCCGACTGAGCCGCCGGTCACCAGGGACGCCGGTGGACCTCCCGGCTGTTGACACCGCCAGCGGCTTCAGCCTCGCCCCGGAGGCGATGGCAAAGGCGGACGGCCCGGCGGAGACCTTCACCCCTGAAGAGCGGGCGCGTGCGGTAGTAGACCAAGAGAACACCACCTCCTGCCGGCACAAGGCTGGCAGTGGCGTCCAGTCCGGGGCGAACTGCTGAAACGCTGGAAATCGGAAGCCATCCCGCAGTCCCGCCTGGCTGCTGTGGCCCGGAGGGTGCCTGGAACGCCAGCTAGCAGTGTCAAGACTGAACTCCGCATTCCGAGGCCGGTCGGCTGGCAGGGAAACGCCGCACCGGCCTCCAGGCGAGTAAGGCCGGTAACCTGTTGCTGGCGGGGATAACATGGACACCCTAGCTCTGATCGTCGACCACGTTGCCGTCGTCGAGCTGAGTTATAATCAACCATAGCGAGCATCGATCTCAATGTATATTGTCTTCACGACAGGCTGTGACACACATAACGTACCTAGTTACGGTTCGTTGCCGCTCACCACCCAACTAAGATTTCGTCGTCAAACTGAAGGGCAGTCCAGCTTAGCGGGCATCGATGTAAGTTGTGAACAGTGGATGTCTTCACGAAAGCCGGTGATACACATTACTTACCCAGAATCGTTTTCTTTCGGGTTATTCGATTTAAGTTGCGTAATGCAGCGACGCGAGTGGTGACTGGATGGTTGTTGCTTGAAGGTATATAGAAAGAAGCTGACAGACAGAATTCTTCAGATATGGAGAGAAAATATAAATTTTTACACAACCTGATCTTTGGGGACTTTTTGGACAGACGGCTGGTCCATCCTTGGACTTTGGCCCCTCTCTGGGTCTCGATACCTTGGACTGAAGCACTGATTCATCACGGCGCCGACCGCTGCCGCCCGCTGACTCAGTGTAACGACGGTGTTGACACGGCCAAATCCTGGCGCAGATAGTCGCCAGCACGATAGGGGAGCGGCGCACGCGGCAGCCCGGTCTGACGCGGCCCCGCACCGCCAGCACGGCGTGATCCGCCGGTTGGGCTCCAGAGCTCCACCCGGTATGACTGGGTCAGGCTAGTGTGAGCATATCCCACAATGTTCAGCTTGAATCTTGCATTGTGGCCTCCATTCAATCAATGTTTTTTTCCACATCAGTCATCTCCCTCGCCATCTTCCTGAAAGATGCGCTATTCCATCACGGTCACAGCGTTTCATTTAGTGCCATAGGCACCAACGTCAATACCGCTAGCAATGGTGAGAGTGCACAACAGCCATCTCTTTTTGTCTGACATCATCCAAAACCCGGCCGTCGGTAGAGGCCGGTTCGAGCCGGATCGAGCCAGCTTTAACCGGTTTCCAGCCGACGGTCCAGGCCAAACCACGAGACCGACCTGGTGCAGGGCGGGGCCCATCACTGAGACCAGGAAGCCCTGGTAGACGTACTCTTGCAGCTGGGTCGCGATGAGCGGATGGCACCTCTGCCGGACACAAAAGACCGCGACTCACACTAGTTGCCCATAGCCCGCGGCACAGCTCAACCAATTGAGTTTGCTGCCGCTCTCGCACGTGACCATAACGCGTTTGAAAACCGCATTAGGAATGTTCACACGAAGTTGAAACACGAGAGCGGTTGTTCATGCTTAACTAGTGCCAACTGAGTGCCACATTCGTCATAAAACCATTTGCACCAACACACTTTGGTCACATCCATTTTCTCTGGGCGGGCTCTTAACACTACAGCAACAGCCTTCCACAGCCGCGGCAGCACACATCGCCGGGCAGGCCTACCTGGAGGACGGCGTCGCAGAACTGGAGCGAGCCGACAAAGGCGTCCAGCTCGGATGGCGGCGGCGGCGACGGCGGCGGTGGCGACGGCGGCGGCGGCGGCGCCGTCCGGGGCAGTGCAGAATACAGCCCACTCAGCCCCGTGGCGAGCACCTGGACGGTAGCGGGGTCGACCGCCGGTCAGCACGCGCCAGCCGCCGTCGCCGCGACCTTGTGGTCCGGCCGCTCAGGTGCGCAAATGCGGGGGTGTTGGCAGTTACAGTCAGAGCTGCAGTCTAGGCTGTGGAATCGTTCGCGTTTTCTACGTGTGATGCATACAAAACACTGCTGTCGGGTATGGTACACAATCACTGCTTTCTGCAGATCGTGTTCAGCGTCCCGAGAACGGTCCTGTACGAGAGTTCTTCGAGTAGGACGCTCGGGTCGCTCGTGAGAGACAAGGTTACTCACAAGAAAAATAAGAAAACAACAAAAATGTAGACACCAGTATCGGACAACAACAATGGGACTGACCGGGCAGAAGGTGGAGTGCTGGACGATATACTGCGCCAGCTGGTCACTATCGCTCGACAGGCGCATGCACAGCAGCAGGGCCTCGCGTGCAATCTCGCCAACCACGCCATCGGCGTGCACGAAGTCCACCAGCAGTGAGAAGATGACAAAGCTGGTGCCGGTGCCGTCCGGCTGCAGGTCCAGGAAGAGGTCGAGCAGCTCGGGCTGCCGGTGCAGCACAGTGCACAGTGTTGACAGCAGCTGCAGCAGCTGGCGGTCCAGCTCGGCCAAGCGCGCGCGCCGGCAGGTGAGCAACAGCTCGGTGAGTGGACGCAGTACGGCCCGCTGCACCAGCAGCACAGCGCCGCCCTCGCGCAGCAGCTGCTCGTGCAGGCGCAGCAGCTCGGTACGCAGCAGCGGCTCGAAGGCGCCGCAGCGGCGGCTCCAGGCCAGCAGGCGCTCGGGCACACGCTCCTCCAGGAACAGGTCGAGCAGGCGGGGCTGGGACTCGTCACCGACCGGCGTGGCCGGCGACCGCAGCTCCCAGCAGAGCAGAGACGCAACTTGGTCCACGTGGTTCAGCACGCAGTTCACGTCTTCCATGGCGACAGCATCACCTTCCTGCAATCAGGATCTGATCAGAGTGCATTCCAAGGAAGATTGGAGGCAGGGATAGTAGTGATGAGTGGATAAAACGGTTAGTTATACAGTTCAGAAGGTGCTTGACTAAGATCATTAACCACAGAACGCTGAGAACTTAGGATGCGACTAGCGGTAAAAAAAAATGTTTTGCTCAGTACAGCAGAAGTAAACCCACTGTGATATGTAATATACAGATGCCAATCCACGACACGCACATGTGAACCATACCTCCAAAGACTGTATCTTGGCCCAGGCTATCTTCCAGTGAACCTGGAAGCTCTCCCTGTACACTACAACATCCTCTTCTGCTTTGACTGGCAGAATGGTACGGAACCGGGCCACCAGCGACCCCTTCAAAGGGGAGTTTTTTGATAACCAGCTGGTCATGTTAGCCCTGCCTTCTCTTCCTTGTCATGTTCGAATGGCAGCTGGCAGTCCTGCACATACGTGATGAAGGAAATATGTCAAAATCCGAGACGCGGCACCCACGTACAAACAACATGCCATTGCCAATCAATAGAACTGGCACGTCAGTGCAATAATACACCTTGGGACTACTTGTTTGTGGAAACAGGAGCATGCTGCGTACTGAAGATACTGAGTCAAGCAGCAAAACAACATTACGATTCATATTCAATGGTAACGAAGAAAGAAAAAGGAAATGGCAAGTAGATATTGGGTAGAATTTGCAATCAAAATTCTGATAAAAACCCAATGTAATATATTGCAAGATGCATCTTATAGTACTTCTTTTTAGAGGTATCGTCCAAACCGAATACACTGGACACATTTCTGGGACCGGCGACCACGCTAACAGCGCTTGTTGCGAGCTCCCCGACCCCCCGCTCAATCCGATCCGATCGCGCAACGCCTGGCCAACGGTAGAATTTCCCAGCGAACATTTAACGTGCCGCAATGGTCGCCACGCTTCATTCTACCTTCTGACGTCATCTGACCTTTAGAGCGGGTGCTGCCACCGACCACAGGTTATCCTAGTCAGCGGCGCATGGCGCGTCTCTACAGGGATTCGAGTTTCGAACCCACCCCGCCACGAGCAGGTAAATCAGAAGACTGGTGCTCGAACGACTGGCCTTCCTGGACTCATGAAACGAAACAAAAGATGGAGAGGCCGTGACATTCGTAAAGCATGAAATGGGAAATTTCGCACTAAAAAATAAATTTTAAGAAATAGATGGATAGTTCCTGATCCCCAAAGGACAGCATCCCACGCTAGATTTGGACCAAAACAGAGAGCCCATTTCATGCAAAAGTAACCAACCAGCTTCGCAATTTTATACATCACAATCTCATTCATCGCAGACTAGCTGGCATCAAACGGCCCAACATCTCAAGGTCAACCTTTACAAATAATATTTCGATCAAAAAGGGAAAACTGCATTATATTCCAAACCAGCCAATCTACGATTTTCCCGTTTGAGGATTTTCTTCAGCGCGTAAATCAGCGTCCGGCAAAACGCCTTGAGCTCTCAAGGTCAACTTTTAAGTAACCTTTACGACGAAGGACGGGAAATCCATTTTGCCCAAATATTGCTGGTTGAATGAGAACCTATTATCTTCTTCAGCGCATACTCACGTCCATCCAATAGCCTCATCCTCAACGCCGATCGTTCAGGTTACCGCTCAGCTTAAATGACAAAGAACTCCACTTAACCTGAGGGTTATCGGCTGAAAGCGTATTTTTAAGCATCGGACTCTTACTGAGCGCATAAAGCACGCGTGCACCTTAAACACTCATGACCTTTCGGCTGACGCGATGTTTTGGGTTGACTGATGGCAACCTGAAATAGACTGGTAAGGTCTGGTAGAAATGGAGGTCCCGTCATTTTTCTCTGCATGCTGTGCTGAAGGGGTAAGTCCTTATGCTTAAAGTTCGAAATCGACCGCCAGTGTTTCACTGCAGTGGGGCTTCCTGTTATTTGAAGCCAAATGTGGTTTTCAGTTTTGATCCTAAGGGTCAGGTTCAGTGTTACCTTGCAGTAACAAACAATCTAAGGCATTCACATGAAATCACAGGCTTTCAGGTTTAACCTGCACCACACCTTTTGAATGAATGGGTTTCTGGAATGAGAGCTCAAGCTAAGCAGAGCTTATGTGAGTCCTCACCCCTTCCATCTGATGATGCAATTCTAAGTCAACAGCAGAATTTTGTGGCTAAAGTTTACGTGCTGCAATGCTCGGCTGAGTCCGTCCCGCCCTTCTACGTCCCCCGATCTTAAGCCAGCTGCTGCTGGCGGCCGCAGACCATACCGGTCAGGGCGGATAGCCAGCCACTTAACAACTCAAGCTCATCCCACCAAGGAATGGCTGGATCGGATTTCAGGCGTTTTAACCAGCTGAGCCATTGGGACAAAGTTTGAAGATTGACAAAATATTTCATTCTACAGCCAGGTTGCACAGTACATGTCCTGGTACAATAGAGCATGCAAAGTTGTCTGTAAACAGATATTATTCTACCCTAACATAGATAATGCGTATAAGATTTAGTATGGGAACTCATCAACACTGTTGCCCTCCCCTCCTCATACCCACATCTGTACTCCAGGGTTGCAGTCAGTTCTTCTGCCACTGAGGTGCCCTATGTGCTACTGTGAATGGCAAGGGCACAATATTAACTGCATTACTGGTAATGATTTTGGAGGAAATAGCAAATGACTATATCAAAAGAAGTAAAAAATTTAAAAAAGAAGCAAATATTTTACTCCCCTATGCATATGTGTGGGCCCCTTTGGATCACTGTGTCCGGGCTTGTTTACCAAGATAGTTTTGGCTGTAAGAGGTAGTGCAAAAAAGAAAGGAATGGAAAAGGAAAAGGTAAAGAGGGTTATCCTCATAGTTGCTCTCAAATGGCATCACTTTATCTCAATTAAGCAAACAAATTGTGCACTGTATTTCATCAACCAGGACCTGCATAACTGCAGTCAGGTTACTGATCAATTTGAAAGTTATGGTGCATCTTTTGGGCAAGTGCCATCCCTTACTGGGGTTTACCTTCAGATTTGATGGTGCTCACATAACATCTATTTTGGTGGGTTTGGAAAGCAGAGATAATACCATCAAAGTGCTTCAAAACTATATTTAGTATAATACATGCTGAAGAACTTAGTGCTTTACTGGGCAACAATACAGCAACCATAGGGAGAACCATGGTGCCACATTGTCACATTTAAGCTTGCGCTTCCATCCAAACTGTTTTACACCACCCAGGTTAAGAGATTAGATACATTAGATAGATTAAAATATGCTGCTTGAGACTATGTACAATGTGAACATAACTGTTTTGTTTTAAGGGGCATTCAGTAACATTCAATGTTTGAGGCACAAGGCCAAGGGTCTTAAGCCCTGACCAGAGTTAAATTTCTAGGCAGATTAAGCCCACTTGATCTCCATGAAGAACAAAACTGTACTTTTCAACTTGCACATTTTATAGCAAACTGTTGATGTCCAAACCCCCCCCCCCCTCCACACACACACACATATATATGTATATATATATATATATATATATATATATATATATATATATATACATATATAACAAATTATGCCCTATGAAAGCAATATGGTGACTTGAGTCTCTACCCACATAATCTAGCAAAATTGTTGATGGGGGGCAGACCAACACTGAAGGTCCAGCCAATATTCAGGGGATGGAACTCTCCAGGAAAGTTTATCAACACCACCACTCCGCCCACATTCTGCCATGCAATCAACATTCATCACAGTAGCACACTCTGAAGGCTGAACAAGGTATCGCCATCCAAACAAACCCCACTCCAAACGCAGCATCATACACAGGCATGCTAAACGAACCGCAGAAAACTACGCGTCTGCGCGTCATACAGATACTACAAGCACTGAGCTTCCTTACTACCATTTTAATCCTACCTACTCACCCTTACTATTACTACTGTTGCTCCACAAGACTACCGCCCTTGCACGCGCATCCACACAACCCGTCCTTGCCTCATACCGAATGTACTAAATATTCTACGTTTCGCACAAACGCAACTAGTGCGCCATAAACGCGGAAAACATAGCTTTAAATGTTTACCATGAAATAAGCAACAGGCTGAAATAACACAAGACCGCTGGCATGCATGTCGTTCCATGGGACACGGTAACTCGGCCCATGGTCAAGGTTGTATGGCTCAGTTCATGCTCGTTTTAAAAAGCAGTAAGGGACTTATTTTGATGTAATAACATCCCTATATGCATACAGAGAAACCGAGGATGGAGGGGAGAACGCACGCTAGCTCGAACCGCGCATCGGGCATATGCAAAAGGCGTGTCGCGTAAGCGATGCCACCTGTTGCCATGCTCGTAACGTGTAATTGATTTCAAAGCTTGTAAAATTTGCAAGCAAAGCAAGGTGATGGTGAATAATGGCACGGCAAAAGGGGCCTTTTCAGTCAGGGGTGTAGCTTCCTATTCGTTCGGCCCTGAGCTTGGTCTTAAGCCCCTTTCCCCACAAAGTTGGAGTGAGAGTGGGAAAATTTCGGTGAGAAACCTATTTATTGGCATATTTCGGGGGCAGGTTGCGTCATTTCTCACTCCTCAGCCCCCCCCCCCCCCCTTTTACCAACTCAATTTGTGGAAGTGCACCCCGAACTTCTTTCGGGTGGCAGTCCAACCACGGGAGAAAATGAGTGTTTTATTGCAGTTTTACAAATGTACAGGGCTGCAGGGTGTGACACCGCGACTCCGCTTGCGTTCAAGAATGTCAGACAATTGCACTGTACGTCATGGCTAATTCTGCGTCGAAGAGAGCTCTGTTGCCATTACTGCAAGCTCTGCTATTGACTCTTGACAAGAGGTGGCGCTGGGTTCACGCAAAGGTCGTTCTGTGTTCTTTGTTCCCGCTCGGTCGGGGATCTCGCTTGAGTCATTTTTGTGGAGCCCAATCCATACAAGGCTCGGTCCGAATCGATCGCAGACAGCGTCTACGGCGCACGGGGAGCGCCATGATTTGCCGTCTTCACCACGGTAACGATCTGCCGACCGACCCCACCCAAGTACAATGACTCATTGTGGCGCAACAAGGCTGCTGCGTGAGACGGAGCCGAGCGGTTCATGGAGGACGGCCGGGAACAGTCAAGTATTGAGTGACATCTGGGAATGTCCCGTTAGACGAACCGTGGATCGTTACAGAGCACGCAGTCGGCCACGACCGTCATCGCAGGGGATGTGCGCGCTCTACGCCGCCTGAAGTGTCTCCCGCCAGGTTGTCAGGGGCGACGGGAGCGGGCACGTCGATGAAGCTCGTTCAGACGACTGGTCAATCGGGCCGACCGACCGACTGCGCTGAATGCGAGCCCTCGGCGCTTGCTGCCGCAGCATGCGTTCACCCTGGCATGTGGTGTGAAGCTCTGTGATAATCGCCAGCGTTGACGGCTATGTTTGAGGACGTCGACGCCAAGCTGGAATTGTTAAGCTGTGGACCCGTCACACGAGCCAACACCACCACCCAGCGCCCACAAAGCCTGCTGAGGTTGCCTGCGGACCGTGACGCCCGACCCCGCAGCTTCCGGTGCGCCTTATCGTCGACACACATTTGGCCGCGCCAGCTGGCCGGGTCAGGCTCGGCTGACCACTATCTCTCGACCCCTGCGCCTCTGTCAAGCTCGCAACGGGGTATGTATGTCAATTAGTATATTGATATTTCGGACGCCCACAACTCGGCTGGAAATTTGAGGCTGACAGGGTTCCACTAAGAACAAAACATCCCAAAACGCTGAGATGGAGGTATGGACTGTTGTGAGGCATTTCAGATCGAAGTGCGGGGCAGTGGCAGATATCTCATTTTGGGCACAGGCATTCATTTTCAAGACACGCCAAAGTTCAGAAGCGCCATAAACGGCCCCAAATTTTTCAGTTCAACATAAGAGCAAACAAATGTTGACCTGTAGAAATAATGTGGTCTTAATCTGACGGACCATTCCAGCGGAAGACGTTTTACCGATTAAAAAATAAGAATCTGAAAATAAAATGGTCGAGAGCTGGGGACTTCTATGCGGGGGCACCAAGTTCCAGGAAGCACCACAATGAATCGTGGCCCCTCCCTGGACGAAATCCTGGATCCGCTCCTGGTGCAGGATCCCTGATTGCGGACTGGACTCTCAAGAGTGCAACGAAAATTTGCAGGTCAAAAGGTCTTGGCTGAGGCACTGTAAAGCCGGCAGATCTGAAGCGGACGTATGCAATTTCCTGAAACGTTGGGCTCCTAGTAACTGAATCAACCTCATGGTCCGTTTTCAGAATTTGCTATGGGAAAGCTTGATGATATGCTCTTTGCACCAAAAAACACGAACGATTTCAATACGATCTGGTCCAACAGCGCTGTAACTTCTCCAATGTTTCCAAGCTTTCGAGCATGAAAAGAAACTGCGTGGCTGCCGTACGCAAAAAACAGGCGCAAGCACTTGCACTTGAGGCAAATGTGACGCACTCTTCCCGCCTGCCTCCCATTTCAACACAAAGTTTTGTATTCTATTCAACACAAAGTTGTGTTGAACTTCCGTTAGCTTGGACCAGGTTGTTTTCCCCTCCATGGGGCTCCACACCTGCCCCGAGATCCCGAAGATACGCGCCGGCTCCTGCCCAGCGGGTCAGCATACCGTGCCGCGGGGGTCAACTGCGCCAACTTCGCCACATCTGGTCGAAACCTGTCGTGGCTTGCAGACCGAGCGCTTGGTTATCAGTGGGAAACTACTGCTCGCGTATCAGAGTCTGGTCTGCGTCTTGTGTGTGGAAGAAGAAAACGCTGCTCTGGGCAACACAATTTCTCTGTATGGTAAATATGCTTCTCAGTGCGTCATTGTTGGATTACGTCATTGTGCCTCGCAAAACATTGATTGAGAGCGAATTGATGGCCGTTATATTTGAAAATCGTTGCTTACGAACGCCAAACATAAGTGATTCGACAATTATAGTTGCATTCGCCTTGATCGCTGCATGGCCAATGGAATGGTAAAATTTGTATGACGTCATTACGGTGTCATGGATGTCTGGATTACTTTGAAAAAACCTTCCCGAAATAGTCTGCACATATTTGCGGGCGTGTACCCGAGAAATTAGAAGGGTTCGGGTCTTAAAAAGAGCATGGCTGGAAACTGCGACGAATGATCTTCAAGATGGCTTTTTCAGAGCAAACCCCATATAAGTGAGGAACACTCACTTTAAGTGCTCTCTGCATCTGAGACCTAGCCATCTATGAATCTGAGGATGACTATTGCTTTCCTATTCTACCACCCTGCGGTCAGGAATAGCTTCGGTGGGCGTTGCTGTAGACAGCTGCGACACGCCAGAACCACGGTCTGCGTCGGCTCCCAGCATGTTTATCCAGCTGAGCACATAGCTGGTGGCTGAGTCGGCGGCCGAGGCGAAGTCGGCGGGACGCGCCGCACTATCAGCGTGGCCTGGTGCCACGGCGGCGTCTCGAGCGCGTGGGCCTCGTCGTACGCGGTGAGGGCTCGAAAGCACGCGATGCCGGCCACATCCGCCACTATTACACGGGAATTGGCCCGGGATCGACTCCACCATGGTTCTCATGGGGCCGGGTGCTCTTATGAAATGCGTGCAGAAACGGGCAGGCCGGGTCACTATTCCTGGCATCGTCTTGTCGCTGGTATGTATGCCTGTAGGCTCGCCCTTTAGCGCTGTCGCAATGAATGCAGTCAAACAAAAACATGCAAAGCAACGATGGCGCAACTAGGATTGACTGAGGTATGTGGAAGTCTCCATGTGTCTCGACACAGGGACTATCGCTCCTCCGGTCTCGAGCGCAGGGACGGACCGGGGAGACTCAGCGCCACTTTCGCCGTGCGGCGGCGTCCATGGCGAGGCGCCGTCATCGACGCCTTTCGCCTGCCGCCAAGTTTCACCAGGCGGTGCTGACACCGCGCGCGGACGGGGGTGCCTCCGCGACCCCATCCCGCAGCCCGCGCTGCAGAGCCTCGCCCCGCACGTCCATTTTGCAACGGTTTCTCTCCCGTCGCGAAGGCATCCGGAAAAACGGCTGCGCTGCGCTCCGGCAAGAGCGCACGCCTGGCAGGTGCTGCCCGGCCATTGAATCATGAAGTCGGAATATCTGGAGCGGGAAGGGAAGGGCCGCCTGTCACGCAAAGTTAAGCTGGCTTACAACTTCACCAGAACTCGTAATGATGCCAAAGAGCTCCGCCACCGCTTTGTAAACCGATCGTGGAGAAGAGCGCACGACATGGCTTTGCAGGGAAAAGCGGCGCGCAGCCACAAAACAGAGAGCCGGCGGCATGTGTGGGTTATCCGGCAATGCCAATTTCGAATGCTTATGATTGATCTGTGCGAGTAGTAATGACATCGGTGGCTCAAACAGGGTTATCTGGACTGGATAGTTCCGGCCACTTTCTTTTTCATGCAGTGGTAATAAAGATGCTAATTGTGCTGTGAAATTGGAGCAGTTTGTTTTGGGCAGCATTTATGGTCGCAAGAAATAGTTCTGCATTTCTAAATCCGGCTCATTTGCTATCGACCGAGAGAAGTTTCAAAATGGGGTTCATTTCTATGAAACAATCAAGATGTTGCTGGGTTGTAAAAATGGAAAAACTTACGATTGAATATCACGCAAAAGCAAAACTGTTCTGGCTTCTCGCTCCAACCGCAATATACCCACAGTGAGACGCGCTGCCAGCCCGGGCTGTGCCAGGGCGGGAACGCGGCTCGGTCTCCGCCACAGGATGAGCCCCCCGTCTCAAGCATGCACGAGGGAGGCGGGAGAGGGCAGCGCGCTACGACAGAGCACTGCGCCAGGGAGGTAGGAGAGGGCAGTGCACAGAGACAGAGCACTGCGCTAGGGAGGTAGGAGAGGGCAGCGCACAAAGACAGAGCACTGCGCGAGCGAGACGGGATTGGCCAGTGCACGGCGTGCGCGTCACCCCCAGCCGCCCCCCCCCCCCCCCCCCCGTGTAGAGTACTGCATGAGGGG